CACAGAGTTCAAGCCCGATGACCGACCAAAAAAAAGCCAGAAATGGCGCTGTGGCTCAAGTGGTAGAGCGCTAGCCTTGAGCTGAAGAGCTGAGGGACAGTGCCCAGGCACAGAGTTCAGGCCCCATGACCGGACCCCCCCAAAATAAAAGTCTCATGGATTTTTCCTGTTTGGCTGGCTTCAAACCTCAATCCTCAGATCTCAACCTCCTGAGGAGCTAGATAGATTTACAGGTGTGAGCCACTAGTGCCCAACTACTCCTAAGTTTTACTCTGTGAGTTAGAGTATAACTTTAAATGAATTATAGATTTATAGTATTTTTTGGTATTTTTATGACATACCATTTATAACAACTAGCTGTATATCAGTTGATGGTAAAGGTCTAGCCTACAATGAGATCTTCCTAATAAAGACAGTGCTCTTAAAGAATATAATCTATTTTATAATGATCCAGTATATAACAACTTTCATAGGATAAAGCTCCATCAGCATAGCATATATAACAATCTCTTAAATGTTTTGTTTTGTTTTTGTTGGGGCTTTTTTTTGGTCATGGGGCTTGAACTCTGAGCCTGGGCATTGTCCCTGTGTTCTTCAGCTCAGGGCGGGCACTCTATCACTTGAGTCTCAGCGCCGCTTCTCCTTAAATGTTTAAAAGTACTTATTGACTATATTTAAGTTTTCAGAGCTATTTAGTGTAAGTGGAGAACTAATGTGTTTAAAAGGTATCTTTTTAATCCTAAAAATGATGTTCCTTAGTAATTTTTTCTTTGTTCTATTTGTTGTTACTTTTACTTATTTTTTATTATTTCATGTTTTATTATTTTAATTTTTCAGACTTCCTAAGAAGGATTAATGGCTGTTATAACTTATTCTACAAGAGTAAAAGGAAGAGGCAGGGAGGGAAGTAGGGTAAGAAAAGATGCCAAGTTAGATACAAAGTACAAACTGTCTTTAGCCTTTGGGTGGTGGTGATTTTCAGAACTTTGGTAAGGGGTTTTTCTACTATATTTCCAAACTTATCTAAGAGGCACCTTTCAAATTGAGGTGCCAGAAGGAATCCAGCTTTTTAGGTATTATGCCAAATTATACTACTTTCTCAAAGGTACCATGTGGACACAGAGGGCCTACAAGTTTATTACAATATGTTTTCAGCAATGTGTCTTTGAGCTTGAGGTACTATAATTTAGTGGTTCGAGGTAACACCATGGCCTTTCCCTACTGAGTGGAAATTCTACATCCTGTCTTTCCCCAAACTCTCCTTCACTTTATCTATCCAGATAAAGGGTGTTTTTGGAAACTTTTCCCCCTTGAATATAGTGAATTGCACAGTAATCCAGTCGAGTGGAAAATGCAGAACCTTGAATACATGTAGCACTGACTGACTTCTGCCTTCTAACACGCATGAATTTGATTTATTCTAATTTTTCATGCATAAATGTTCAACATTTTACTACCTTTTAAATCTGCTCATAAAGTTCTTAAAGCCAAAAACTCCATATAATAAAAACTTCCTTATCTTTGAAAGTGGCATGTCAGAAAGTGTTTAGGAAGATATATTTCACCGATTTCTCAGGAGAGTAGAAATTGCTCTTGTGCAGTAACTGTTCCATTGGGTGTTATATGGGATGAATGTACCATTCAGTGTTATATAAGCTGCAATTAAAAAGTTTTTTTTAAAAAAAAATTTGTGATGCTGAGCAGGGCCTTAAAATTGCTAGGCAAGAAATCTTCTACTGAGCTAAATCCTCAATCCCACCAAGTTATCTTAAGGAAGCCACTTAACCATTCTTGGCTTCAGTTTCCCTGTTGAAAAGGAATTTTCAGTGCGAGTTTATGTCTTGAATTAAGACAGAATTATTCTTTTTCTTGTGGTATTGGGTTATTGAGCTTGCTTGCTATACAATCACCCTATCACTTCAGCCATGTCATATATCCAAACACAGACCTTTCAAAAATATCCTATTTGTGTCATTTACTGGATATACAGGTGGAACAAGTGATCTGAGGCTCTCTGAATTTTCAACTCTTCACCTGTAGTTGGGGAAATCAAGAGAGTGATTTCACTTCACAGGAATACATAATATGTGTATATATACGCAGATATATGCATATATATATACATTTATATTCCATGTATACACATATACATCTGAATAGTATTTATGTATTCATTCTGCTTCATTTTGCTATATACTCTTTCTGTCTCTCTCCATACATGTGTATATACATACACTCATGAAGCCCTGAGTTATTTATATACATTTGCATATATATGACAGAATGAATATATACATGTACAGAGTACAGACTGCAGCACAGTACTCTGACTTTAATTCAGGCTCAGTCAACTTTCTCTCAGCTCTAGAGACTAAGATTAGGAAAGAAGTAAAACCTCAAGTTAATGAACATCAGAATCCTCACTGTACGGTACCATCTTGATCCACCAAAATAAAGAAAATGTCATTGAAAATGTCACAGAAAGAAAAATGTTATAGAAAGATCAAGCTCATTTTGGTATCATTGTGCTCCATAAGAGAACATAGAAAACTTTTAACAATCACTGAGCTTGTAATGTTCATATAATTCAGTATAAAGATGACAAAAGCTAATGCCTTTTAAAACAAATGATGGAGAAAGCCATTCTGCAATGCATTCTCAAAAACAGATACAGGATGTTACCAATCTGTGGTCAGAGGTTTGCAGAGACACTGACCTGACTCACTGGAAGTGAAGAACAGAACACACTGCCCACGGCTGGATTCACCTAAATAGAAGAAGAAATACTTGGTAAACCCACCGCCTGTCAGGAGCCAATGGGCAGTCACTAAACATTTTCCGTTTCATCTCCTCTCATCCCCACAAGAAGGGGAAGAATATGTTTTAGTTTTTCTATGCATCACGTTAAAAGTATAATTTCACAGGGTCAAGTGAATTCCAAAACAGGTTTGTATTTTGAAGCATTTGTGAAAAAATACTTTTGAGCATATGGGGAGATCCCAGTCCTCTGCCTCCCCCCACCAAAAAAAAAATAGAATATATATGGACGAAATGGGCACTATGGAAATTTTATCAGCATTTTACAACACAGATCATTGAAAGAGACATGCTAATCCTCCAAAATGGCATTTTCCAGAGAATAGAACTCAACCAAAACAATGATTGGTTTTCCTATCAAATAAATTATATTATAGAAGCAGTAATATCAAAATGTCACGTGTGCTTTGATTTCCTCCTCTGTGGTCACACACAACTCCATTTCCATCAAATTTGTACTACCTTCAAAATCTTGGAAGATGACAAGAAATATGTGAATTTAGAATTCTGACCATGATTCGATTTCCTAAAGATTTTTCAAAATCTTCCTCAAATGGATCAACTGGATGACTTTCCAAATAGGATTCATGGATCTCAAGAAACGTTTGTTCAGCACAATAATTTACTACTCACTCTACCTGTGGAGCAGTATGCAGATGCTATTTATACTGAAAAGAGCCTGTGTTTATTTTCTAACAACCGCTGACTTGCTCAGGCATCTGAAAAGGTTATTGGAAATGAAATACAGTTCCAAATTTTGAGCTGAGAGTTTGTAAACAAACTTATCCGCTGACTTATTTTTTTTTAACTATCTACTGACAGCAAAAGGTCTTTTGCAAAGATGAAAACTACTAACTTGGTACCTTTTTTTTTCAGTTTAGAATATGCTTCTTATAAAATATGCAGCACTAGTCCTACATGGGGTGTGTGAGAACCACGGAGCAATAAAACCACTAGCTGAAGGGTCTGGCTGTGGTTCAACCAGACTTCCTGAACAGTACAGGTCGGGGAAGTTCAGAGTCAGGGCGACTCTTCTGGTCTCCCCTTTCTAGAGTCTGCAAGCTGTGGGTGCCTGTGTGCATGTATCATCCTTCATGCCTTTTTCCCCTCCCAGCAAATGCGTTCAGTCAGCTCCAGTGGCACAGCTTGTGTGCTGACGTACAAAGCCAAGTCAAAACCCTGCGCTTGGCACTCCCTCCTAACTTTCTGGCTTGTCCAAGTCTAAATATTGACATTGCTCCTCCGTGGCGATGTTTGATACCGCCGGGGATGGAAACGGCAGGGCGAACACTAGGACCTACCATAGACTTTTACATAGTTGTGCCTTCCTTCCACTTCTTTTTTTGGGGGGAGGGGGGGGTGGAGGTTGAAGGTTGGATTCAGTCGGTTGCACAAATCCAAATCTCTTTTCGTCCTCACCCCCCCCCCCAAAGCTGGGCACCGGGAGACAAGTTACGGTGTGTGCGAGCCCCTCGTGGCAGCTGCTACTGTTGTCATAGCAACCCACAACAGACTCCAGAGACAGCGGGGCGTGGGGAGGGGCCGCGGAGGGGGGTCGGGAGAGCCACGGTGGGCAGGCTAATGAACTCCCAGCGGGGGTGCGAGCTGCCAGGGGGGTGCCAGAGCCCCGCTCGCCAGTCTTTTGGCAATCCCCACCACTGTCTGGGAGAGAAAGAACCTTCTGGTGGGCGCGGCACCGCTCCCTCCCAGGGGCAGCCAGCCTGCTCCTCCGCGTGTTGGGGGAGCTTGGGGGGGGGGAGGGGAGGGTGGAATGCCTGCTGCACAGTTGTTGGGCTCCAACTTCGGGGTGCGGCTGGGCGGGCGCTCCTAGAAATCTCTCCGCTGGTCTCTGATGGGAGGCTTGTCCCCCTGGGGTTGCTGGAGAGGGGTGAGCCCCCTACATACAGCCGATCGCTCCGGGGTGCTGCGGCTGCTCGGCACAGCCCCGGGTGTGTGTGTGTGTGTGTAGAGGGGGGAGGTCCCCACACGCCAATCCGCGGGGATGGGGGGCGGGTGGGGGAGGGGGGGGACACAGGTACTGCTGAGGTCTGACCCTTTCCCCCATCTCCCATCTCAGGGATCGTGGGCAGCCCCCCCCCCCCCGAGGCGGCCGCTCGCAGAAGTTTCACAGCGCGCTCGCGACCCGCACCACCTACCCTGAAGCCGAGTGAGACGCCGGCGCTCTCCGCCTTCAGAGGGGCCGGGAGTGGGGGTGGGGGGCGGGGGCCCCCCGCCCCTC